GTAACGAGTCTTAAGTGCGGTCTTTGTAGCTCCATTAACGTCTCCGGCAAGTTTCGCATGACACTCTCTCATTCACTCGATTACTGAACGCGAAGCATAAACCGAGCCCTTTACAAAACGGGGCCGTAGCTGGGAACTGCCGCCACCGGGAACGACAATTCAGACAATTAATGTAGCTTTGCCGTGGCGAGTAACACGTTACCGCGAATTACCCCGACGCCACTAGGAATTTTCACCGCCACGCCATAAGTATCGCCACGACTGAAAGTCCTTCTGCCGAGTATTCGGGAAAAAATGTGTGTCTGTTCACCGTGTTATTAAACTCACGGAGATTGGATTTTTTTTATTAATCAATGGGCAAAGGGTTTTTCATATTTCGCGTAAAATTCAACGTCCTCCTATTATCTTCTGCAAAGTTTTGCAGGAATTTCCTAACGATACTTCTTCACGATTCGGAAGATGCACATTAACATTTAGAGTGTTTCAAACTTTCTTTCTCTCTTTTTTTTTTCATCACTTCTTTTAATGGCAAATGATCAAGAATAATCGAAGAAGAAATGGAATTAGCTGCAACAGATGTCACGAAAGAGGATTTTTCGTTTTTTCGTTTTTTTTTGTTTGTCTGTCAAACATAGCTTGGTTTAATTTAATTTGGATGATATAGTCTCTAACCAGTTAAAATAGATAGATAACGCAAACAACTGTACATTAAAAATAAATGTACATTAAAACTATGTATACCAAGCAGTTAAAATGCTACCAAGTCTATTTTTGGGCTGTGAGGCCGAGATTAAGTAAATATATATACGCCTTTTACAATTCTTAGAATATTTCATTAGTTTTCTCGATATTGATTCCGCCAACTTTTGATAAAAAAAGCTTCCATTGGAATTCACGTTACGAATTACCAGCTTAAATAAAATTAGCTAAAAGTACGAACGACTTGGTTTCCACGAACTCCTGGTTCATTAGTTACTTCCAACAACATGAACAGAGCGGGGAGCAATTCAGTTTTTTGCAGAGATATGCAGAAGGTTTCCTTGCGGGAATGGTTTCCTCCAGAAACGAAACACGCGTCCGTGCAGCGCCCCAACACGAGATGAACGATATATGACTACAGGGTGAATCAATACCGCGGGCCTTTGGCACAAGTAGCAACATTCGTTATTAATTGAACTTAACAGCCACGTTCGCTGAAAATATTGATCATCGTTTTCCATCACGAAGTAACGGGACGTTCGTTTTTTTCTTTTTCCTTTTTTTTTTAAATCTTTACGCGCGGCTGCGTCTCGAGCGCGTTCGATTATCGAATCGACCACCGTTATTTAACTTGTAATTCGACTTCGCCCATTCCCAGAGTGTTCACGCGACGAGAACTGTGGAAGCAATCGTTAAAACCTACGCTACAATATGTATTTAATAATTCTGGGAATCGTTTCTACACACACAGTAAGACAAATTCAAATCATATTGAATCTGTCAATTCTAATCGAAAGAATAAAAAAGGATCTCGACAGGGAAAGGTGCCCTTTCCAAAAATTAATCGAATGATATACAAAAAAAAATCTAAACTAATTCCAAGTAAATATAAGTTCAATTCAAGCCGCGAAAGATCAACAAGAAATATAAGCAAATTCCAAGATAACGAATTGAAGTTAAGATAAAAAAAAATTTCTAAAATAATAATAATAAAAAAGAAATACCTACTGCGTACCAAATACCAAACTATATCATAGTAGTAA